AATCGGTGTCTCATCCGAGTACCCGTTCCCAATTTCGCGTTCTTTATGCACACATCACCACATATAAAAACAGCACGATTCCTTATTTTTCTCGTATCTTGATCAACCGAGCAAATATTATTACTGACTTGAATAATCACCTGTCACATTGGGATTTTATCTAATCCATTTGTTTTTTTATTTAGTAAATGTATATTTACTTCTTTTTCCAATACTTAACTTTTTCATCACTGTAACTTGTCGAAATTGTTGAAAATTCATCCTATTGGGTTCATGAAGCTTTACTTTACTTTACTTAATAATGGAATCCGTAGCCAACAACACACTAAAGTTCAGTGATATCGGCATCATAAGATGAGAAGATGGAACAATTACGCGATCCGTTTACCAAAAAGAGAGCTGAACGGGCGAATATCTACACTTCGAGAGCTTGATGCCCCTGGAGTGTAAGTTTGATCTTGTCTAGACGTTATTTGAATAACAAGGCGAATTTACACGAAAGATAAAATTGAAGAAAACATTCTGGTGATGATAGCAAAAAACGCTTAAATAAGCACAACCAACCGAGAATTACGAAAGAACCAGTTCCGTCAGTTCCAAAATTACAGGTTACATTGTGCCTTCAATTGAAAGGTGATAAAGCGAGTCATCTGCTCAAAAATCGACCGTGATCGGTATACTATGCAGCACACCCCAAAATCGTCTATTGGGATTAAGGTGTGTGTGACCGGGAGGTGGAGAAATCGGTGCTGCATGATGGTCATTCAGACATCACTGGGAGGTGAGGTCAATGCGACAGCTTGAAATGATTCGGGGAAATTTTGCGATGAAATCGGGACAACTTGAATTGCAAAAGGCATAGAATGCCCATATCTCCGACAAAAGGAAGTTGCCTCTGTACACCAGCTCTGATCTGATCTGCCAATTCCAATGTGGTTGCACAGTGACCTGTGTGAGCAGAACAGAGCGATAATTATGTAACCGGGTGCTTGAACATATTCCACATTGAGTTCAAAATCAGATGCCACAATCGAGGTCAAATCCGCTGCATAGGAACGATGGTTGAAACTACAAGACTCCGTCATTAGCCATAGCTCGACAATTTTTCACGACGCAATACCAGATTGACCGAAGCACGATGTTTCGGGTTATCTACAAGTCATCAATTGCAAAGTTCGCTGAAGCGAGGGGAAAAAAAAAACAGAACTTTAATTTAGTTTGTCCTCATCCTGATGACATGCTCGTTTTTCCCCTCCCCTATTTGTGTGTTTATCCGCTCCAGTATTTGTTTTTTTTTGTGTTGCCACCTACATCAAGATAGTGTGTTCTGCAGCATGCACCGGGCTGA